TCATTAAGTATGAGATGGGAGCTGTCTTCATTGTCTGTTCAGTGCTTGCTGTTGATCTTCACTTTTCAACAAGTCTTTTAAGCAGAGATCTTTCCCAGTCTGCACCTGTATCGGAACTGGTTTTTTTAGATATTTTCATTGTTCCATTAATTAGTGAATTAAAAGGGAGAGACATGTGCGTGGCATGCTCTTCCAACCACAGGACCCAGAGTTCTACAGTTCCTGATGGCAACAGGTGGGGCCAACAGGATGTGAGAAAAGGAGGCAGAAGCACCATAATCATCAGAGACTTTGAGAACCCAGGTAAGGGGCAATCAGGTGTGTTGGCTGGCAGGGGGAAAGAGCTCTGAGACTCAGTAACAGGATGCCCATAAAGAATAAAATAGAAGTAGCTGAGATCTCTACTATCCTAGCCTACTATCCTACTATCCTAGCCTAGGTTCAGTTAGTTGTCAGTCCTGAAGCATCATCTTTATACAGTGGTACCTTGGGTTAAGTACTTAATTCGTTCCGGAGGTCCGTACTTAACCTGAAACTGTTCTTAACCTGAAGCACCACTTTAGCTAATGGGGCCTCCTGCTGCTGCTGCGCTGCCGGAGCACAATTTCTGTTCTCATCCTGAAGCAAAGTTCTTAACCTGAAGCACTATTTCTGGGTTAGTGGAGTCTGTAACCTGAAGCGTATGTAACCCACCTAAAGACTGTGAGAATATTGTAGATCTGTTGCAAGTTCCTTAACTCATCCTACTCCTGACTCCTAAGTCTTCCTTCTAGAGTACATAAATAATATATTTGACCCCCTTACACAACTAAGTTCCGTGTAGATTATTGTAGAAGTGCTTTCAGGACTCAGTTCTGGAAAACCAAGCCCCCTCCCCCCCCCACACTTTCATCTTTTCTCTCTGAAAACATTGCTTCTTCTGACAAACTTATATGGAAGGTTTGCACAGCAGATCTTCAAATCAACCTGAAGGCAACAGGCATGATTCTTTTGACATTAAGCAGCAGTGCCACTTGCTGGCCATTAAAAAGCATCACAATTTATTTTCGCAGCAGCTTCTAGGACAGAGGTTGCCACCAACAAATGTTGGACTACATTTCCCATCAGCCCCAGCCAGCATGGCCAGTGGTCAGAGATGGTGAGAATTGTAGCCCAGCAAACATGTAGAGGACAACAGTGATGTGGACAGGCTGGGGAGAGATGGGAAGAGCCATTCCTGCAAGGGTAGCAGTGTGTTTTCAATTGGCTTGTGAGGAGCCTACCATTTGCCACCTTTTGGGAAGAGAGATCTGTGGGGGTGCTTTTTTGGCACACGTGCTGTGGGGGCCCTGCATTTTTACGTGGCCTCAGAAGCACCTGAGAGTTCAGTTTATATCTGGCACTCAAGAAGACGTTCGTGCTGAGCCCTCCTGCCCTTTCTTCCACAAAGGCACAATTCCTTGGCTGTCAGAGACGCTGACTTGCACCCAGGATTGACCCATGCATGACATGCAGTGTGTGAGTCATCATGTGCACAACGCATGATGCGTGTGTGTGTGACATGCATGTGGCGCATGCACAACATCGCATCATCAGGAGGAGGCTGAGCCCAGGGCCCAGTAAGGCGCAGCTTCAATGGCTGGTGGCTCCTCCTCTCTTGCAGATATTGAAGGGGCTGAAGACATTTCAGCCCTATAGACAGGGCCGTCTTACCCATAGGCACTAGGGGTGCGGGGCACCTGGGCGTCGGGCTCTCAGGGGCACCAGGCCAGGAGTCTGGGGCCCGAGAGTTGAGTCTGGGGAAGAGCCCGCCCATCGGTCAGAGTGCTGTGGCAGGCTCTTCTGCTGCAGGAGGCTCTACGCCATGAGTTCGGGGGCGACTGAGCTAGCGAGTCGCTGAGGCTGGTGGCCAGCTCTGCCATCCTACACGCCTGGGACTGGGCAACCTGGGGGGGACGCCGGGCAGATCTTTGCACCCCAGCACCGCATTTGCTTACAACAGCCCTGCCTATAGAGTTGGCGCTAGTGCTGGCTGCACACCCTGGTGAAATGTGCTGCAGACACCTATGGTGCTAGGAGTTGTTGGGAAACCCCTGATCCCCTCAAAGACCTACAATTTCCAGAGTTCCTTTGGAAACAGGATGGACTGTTAAACCGCTCTGGGAACCGTAGCTGAGGAACATCAAGTTAAACTGGGAAAGTGTAAAGGATTAGGGGTGCTAAACTGGGGACTTTTGTCAACAAGACCCAGGCAGCTCTGTCCACCTGTGGGTTGGCTCACCAGAAGAGGGAGCAGCTGGCCTGCTTATTGCTATTGTACAGAAGGTGATACTCTCTAAGCAGTGGTTCTAAGTCCAGCGGTTGTCTGGCGACACAAATAGACATGCTGGCAAAGTTCATTGGGTTCAGGCCCAGATATGAGTTTTTGGGGGCTGGTAACATAAGCAGAAGATTGGACATATTCCCCAATCCAACCCCCGTTTGCAAGCTCAACAAAATCTGGAGATTCAGAAGAAGCAGGTATATGGCTGGATTGCATATACTGGGCATCATGCTGCTCTCAGATACCCCCTTGGTGCCCATCAATGCCTGCTGGCCCCAAATATTGTATGTTTATATTGAGAGGATTTAGCTTTTGGGGAGGTTGTTTGGTGGGAGGGGTGTGTGTTGTTTGTTGTCTTTTATCTCCACCTACAAACTTGTCACACTCCTGCTTCTGTTCTCTGACACCTGCACCCAACAGGCAATATAACAAAACCATTCAGCAGAGATGTATTAAACCAGGTATAACTAATTTTTCTTTTACATTTTAAAGTTCTTTATTAGTAAATACAGAGTTGTGTTGTTGTTTTTTTAACTTAGGACCACTTGTATAAAAAAGAGATAAGAAAATAGCCCACAACATTTTCCCAATACAGCTATACATTTATTACAAAATATTACATACATCCTGTATTAATTATACCTCCGAGGCTGCGTGAACAGCTTATGTGCACAGGCATGTGGCAAATATCTTCTTTGCTTTCTATCTGTGCAGTTGCTACAGTTAACAGACGTCTTTTCATTACCACACAGGTGCGTACTGGAGCTGGCTACTATATATTTGGAATCAGTGTTTGCCCTAGGCTGTGCATGGCTGTGATCTTTTTCTTTTGTACAAACAATGGAAAATAGGTCCTCCTTTAGATCTCTCATCCCTCAAGAACCAGTCTTGTATTTTGGGTGCTTCAGTTATTCAAATGAAATTTGGGGGTGTGGAGGTGTGAAGCCTTTTTGTATGTGAGCAACTTTGCTGCGTAGAAAGACCAGCTCCCTCTTTGTCCTCTAAAAATGAGACTGCATTGGCACCAAGGAAATAAACAGTCATGCATGCATTCACCACATTTAAATAGTGGAAGGAGCAATCATGCTATAAGGCAGAGGAGGACCCACCCTCAAAAAAGAAAAGAAATATAAACTCCACTCTCCACAAACAGCAAAAAATAAAGGCCCAAGAATGGAGAGAATGAAATATATTCCTTGTTGTCTCTTCAGTGACGTCACAGGAACTGGCCAATTGGTGCCAGTAACAAGGCCCAAGCAGCATGGAGACAAGCAGGGGATTTCACTGCTGTGGGGCAGGGGCTAAAGTAAGTTCTGCTACGTCACTACTGACCTAATTTATTGAATGGAAGGGACACGATGTAGGGGCTCTTAAAATGTAGCTGAGGTTCATAGTTCAGGTGGTTCCCCAAGTACTTTACTGAAAGGCCTTCTTTTGAATGGAACAGGCATCAGCTGCTACAATGACAACCTGTCCTGGGACTTTTATTTTTCTAATTCTGTGGATTACTGTTTCCAATAAGGCTATGCTGTGGTCTACACCGCTGAGCGTCTTGGGCTTGCCAATCAGAAGGTCGGGAGTTCGAATCTGCGCAACGGGGTGAGCTCCCGTTGCTCTGTCCCAGCTTCTGCCAAACTAGCAGTTTTAAAGCATACCAGTGCAAGTTGATACATAGGTACTCCTGTGGTGGGAAGGTAAACAGCATTTTCGTGCGCTCTGGCACTTGTCACGGTCCTCCCAGTAGCGGTTTAGTCATGCTGGCCACATGACCCAGAAAGCTGTCTGTAGAAAAATGCCGGCTCCCTCGGCCTGAAACAAGATGAGTGCCACACCCCATAGTCACCTTTGACTGGACTTAACCTTTACCTTGCAAGACACATACACAACAGCCCCCCAAAAATTTAGTGGTAGTGGCAGAAACAGATAGGGGTGAGGAACCCTCTTTTAGATGTTGTTGAACTCCTAACTCCCATCAGTCCCAGTCAGAATGGCAAATGGGATTATGGGAGTTGTAGGAGAGCAACACGGGGGCAGCCCCAGATTCCCAACCTGTGTGGCAGGCCAGTGCAGAGCTTGTCTGAGGCCTGGAACCTCAGTCTTGTTAGAATAAAGTTATAAACTCAAACAAAAGTGCATCTGGTCACTGGAGGCCTGAGGCAAGCCTATTCGGCTGTCCCCACTTCTGCCCTGGACCTGCCCTGTCTCAGGCAAAATTCCTGGTGGCTTCCACTGTTCTGAGGTGTTGTTGAAATATTTTAGTCTCCCTCAGAATTACTCTTTTTTTATTAAAAAAAATAATTTTTATTAACCGGCCAATCACATCAAATCAAATCACATCACATAAATTCCGAATTACAAAGCCGAATTTTAAATTTTGTTGAGGGAATCCATATTTCAAGATCCGAAGGAATTACTCAGGTGTTTTACCTGAGGAGGAACCTCAACATTTGCTTTGACTTGTGCTTTAGTTAGAATTCCGTGGCAACTTGGTAATGTGTCAAACCTCACATGGTTTGTTCTGCTAATCTTACTCCTCAGATAGGATCCATCTCGAATTTCACTTTAACTGAAATTCAGCGGTGACTCTAGTTTCCTGTTATCAATATTCACATTGCTAAAAAATGATAAAATAAATTAAAAGACTATATCACATCTTGACCTCAAAATATTACGTAGTGTTGGGTTTGTTTTTAATGCTTTAATACCCATCCTGACAATCGTTATCATCGTAATCGCTAAAAGGCTTATTATGATAAATGTCAAGCATTAACTTTCGGCTTTCTAGCTCCATGCTCCTTGACCAGCTGTCGTCTTCTGTACTTTCAGAATTGCTCTTTGTGTCCTCTCTGGATTGGCTGGATTCTCCTTCTATAGAACGACTGTTCTCCTCGCCTTTGGATTCACTGCTTTCTGTTGATCTGCTCTGCTGGCCTTGCCATTCTTCGGACCGGAGGGCATTCGAATCGCTGTCTTCACTGCTGGCGCTGTCTTGGGAATCTTTGCTGCTCTCAGACGACGCACTTTGAGACAACCTGCTGTCACCCTGGCTGGATTCATCTGTGTCCTCGGATGATTCCTCACTCTCTTCTGTCGATGTGCTCTTCTCACCCGATCTGCTGTGTTGTCTCTTAAACTCCCTGGATTCACTGCCCCTCGGTGGCACTTTCCCTACTTCTTCAGTAGAGTCACTCTCCTTCTCTTTAGATCTGCTAACACTGGCTTCATCTGATCTGTCGCTTATCTCTACAGATTTTTTCAAAGTCTTCTCATAGGAGTCCCTGCTGTCTTCAGTGGATTCACTCTTTACGTCTTCTGCAGATGCAGTGTTGTCATCCTCTCTAGACTGACTGTTCTCATCCTCTCTAGACTGACTAGCCCTGAGTTCTCTGGACTGGCTATCTGCATCTTCCCTGGACTGGCTGTGCGCATCTTCCCTTGAGCGGCTGGGTGCATCTTCCCTAGATTGACTGTGCACATCTTCCCTGGACTGGCTGTGCCTGACTTCCCTGGAGTGGCCGTGTGCATCTTCCCTGGATTGACTGTGAGAATCTTCTCTGGAGTGACTGTGCTCAGCTTCCCTGGATTGGCTGTGCACATCTTCCCTGGAGTGGCTATGCTTGGCTTCACTGGATCGGCTGTGCACATCTTCCCTGGAGCGGCTGCGTGCATCTTCCCTGGATTGACTGTGCGCATCTTCCCTGGAGCGGCTGTGCGCATCTTCCCTGGAGTGGCTGTGCGCATCTTCCCTGGATCTGCTGTGCACATCTTCCCTGGACCGGCTGTCAAAGGTCTCTTTGGACTGACTGCGGCTGTGCCCTCTGGATGAAGGCTTTACAGCCTCTCTGGAATGACTGGTTGCATGCTCTCTGGATCTACTGGGAACATTTTCTGTTGATTGACTAATGTCTTCTACAGACTGGCTTTCTTCTTTGGAATCGGCATCCTCCTCCTGCAGGGACTTTTCCTCTTCAGGGCTGTGATCTTCATCTGAATCAGCATCAACATAATGGTATACTTTCCTGGCAAACTGTTCCACTGATTTGCTGTGATGTTTGGCTTTTCTCTGCCCGTTTTCCCTGCTGCTTTCCTGGCTGCTTTCTTTTGAATGAACATCTCCGTGAAGCATGTGAGAATCACTGTCATGGCTCTCAAAGATGTTTGGGTCATCACCTTGCATTCCTTTGTCATCAAAATCATACCTATCCTCTTGGCTGCTGCTGTAACTATCACTTCCTTGATTTTTGCTGTAATCAGTAATGTGGTTATTCTCTTTTTCAAGGTCTCTGCTCTCGCTACTGCTGCTGCTGCTGCTGCTGCTACTGCTGCCATCATGGCGTTGGCCGATAGCATTGTCACCATCTTGCTCCCCGTTGGTCACCCACATTTGCTGATCATTTCCTTTGTTTGGAGTGACAGTCTGCCCATGAGTGCCTTCCTCATTATGTCCATCATCACCACTGGCACCCTCGTCATTGGTCAGATCACTTCCTCCTTTCCCCATGAAAGTATACAAGACTTGATCAGGGGAATAAAGCATGCCATCGTTTTCAACATCAAACTGTTCTTTGGATTTTCTGATATCGCTGTGGTCTTCGTGAACCTCATTTTGATCCTCCTATAAAAGACGACAAATGGGAAGGGGGACAAAACTTTATTATTTCACATTGTTTTTAGAGTTTCGTAGGCCAAGTGGCACTCTTGCTTCTACCCCAACAAGCAGCTGTTGTGCCAAAAGCAAGGTGGTTCTTTTACAATGAGGTTCAGAAGCAAGACATCTGAAGGCAGCCCTGTTTAGGGAAGCTTTTAATGTTTAATAGATTATTTTATTTTACTATTCTGTTGGAAGCTGCCCAGAGTGGCTGGGGAAACACAGCCAGATGGGTGGGGTATAAATATTATTATTATTATTATTATTATTATTATTATACAAAATACACAAGCGAGAGAGAAGATTAAAGGTTTTATTCTAAAACAGCAAGCAATCTATTCATACCAAGCAAGCACTTCAATTTGCCACTTGGAAGCCCTCGAGAACCGGAGAAGTGATTCCCCCAGCCTCAGTTTGCACAGCCCTGCGGCCGATCAGTCTGTGCACATGCTTCAGAGAAACTCTGCCCAAACCGTCAGATTTTATAGACAACCTGTGTAGTTTTCAAGACTGGCTACATGCAGATCCTCCATTCGCCACCCCCTCTCAAGACCTCACTTTCTCAAAACATGTCGAACATGAGAGAAGGCATCAAGTACTATCCTTCCAAACTGATAAGGTAGCTGGCGGGGGGGGCGGGTAGCGCTTCACCTCCTCCCAATGTTCCCCAAACATCTAAGACTGTTCTCAAAACATTCATATCACAAAATAACGATGAGAAGCCAAAATACATTCCATCAAAAAAACTCAAGAAGAGAGATGGAGGAGGAAGGAACCGAGGTGGGAAGGGCTCCGTGTCAGACCCCTAACTCCTCAGTACATTTTGTCTTCTGGATGCATTTCTCATTCTGCACCACAACATAGCGTTTTGCTGCTGTATCTATCAAAATGTTACAACTGAGTGAAAATAGCCTCCTAAAATTCTCAACTCTATACTTTCAGGCAGTGAAATTGGGAGCAGGGTAAGACTGTGCAGCTCAGCTGACCTCCATCCAGGTGAGTTGCTGCAGTATACCAGGAATGGGCAGGAGATGGCAGTTGCAAGGTTGGCGCAGTGCAAATACAGCAGAGCAGTCAATCTGGCGTTCCTGCTGGCGTCTTTTCACCATGCCAACCACACCATTGCCATGCTGCTTTCTGTCCCAGTGTGCTGCTGTGACTCAGCCAGATAGAGGTCAAGGCTGGATGGGGAAAGTAGCTGTCAGTATGTAGGGTAGGGTAGGGTAGGGGAGAAAGAAAGGGTAGGAGAGAAAGAAAGGTAAGAAGCTAAAGAGGAAAAATGAGGCAGGAACATCACCGGGGAGTGAATCAGTGATCAAACATTATATGCAGGCAAGGGAGTTTGGAGTTAAGTGCTGAAGCCTAAGCTTCAAGGGACAGCAGAGGATCTGGGAGCAGGAAGAGAGTGGGTTGCAGTGGGAACATCACCTTGCTGTACCACATAGGCAGCACCAATTCACCAAAAAGGACTCCATCAAAAAGGAGGACAGAAATGTTGGTACATTGTATAGGAAAGGATTGTGGAAGAATGGGGTACAGTGCTGGTCCAGGGGTGGGGCTAACAGCACAACCCCACCCCTTGTTGTATGTAGGGCTACCCTTCATGCAAATAGTACATGAAGAGGTCTCCTTTTAATCCAACATTCAGAAGGAGTGGAATTCAGAGCAGCATAGACCACAAGAATAATGCAAGAACAGAGATCCTTTCAAAACTACAGTGAATGATCTGTGATGACTTTATGAACATTCATATTACTGAATTGAGGTGACTAAACTTTTAGCTGCTTATGATGGGGAAATAATTCTGGCCACTTCAATTCAAAGGTTTATACGGTAACCTTTTGAATACCTACCAGAGATGTTCCATCAGCAGATTGATCATCAGAACTGTCCCCATGGTCATGGTTGTCATCTGCCCATTTCCTCTGAACTGTCTGGTGGTGGACTCTGAAATAATTGCCGTCATCGTTGTCCCGAGTGATCCATTCATGGTCATCTTCTGAGGAGCTCTCCAGGCTTCCACTGGAAACTTTCCTGATGAAGTTCTTGCCTTCACTGCTCTCATGGCTAGTGCTCACATGTTCACTGACATCTTTCCTTCTGTTTTCCATGCTTGTGCTTAGCCTGCTCTCTGTATCTTCATCACTAACATCTGTGGAATCAGCTACCTCATTCAAGCTTCCTTCAATTGCTGTAGCCTGTACAAAAGATGGACATTAAGGAATGCCTTGTTGCAGTTTTGTTGTTGCTTCTGTTCTTATGCATTTGTTATATTATAGTAAATGTCAAAAATAGTGTGGTTCCTATCACATGGGACTATATCAGCCACCCCTAACGCTCCAGCTGTTTCATCCTACAACTCACATCATCCCTGTTCATTGGCCATGGTGGCTAGGCTAATGAAAGTTGAAGGCCAACAACATTTGGAGGGGCACATGTGCACAGGTGTATTTCTAACAAATTTTGTTTGTTTGTGTGACCTACTCCTTTGCTGGGCATTAGGTAAAGTGGGGCAACTCCTGGGATTTTCTGCCTCAGGTACCAGAATAACTTGGATGTCCTTGGGTACTTTGGGAGGAACCACTATTTGCTTATCTGCCTCAGGCAGCAGAATGTATTGAGCCTTTGCCTCAGAAGACCTAAGTGGAAGCTGCTCCCCAGCAACTGGTAGCAAAGGAAGACTTGCTTTTATCAAGCGCTGAGTTCCAGCTTGCCTCAGTGGTTATCAGTGGGCTGTGTGACAGACAACAAAAGGCAACATTTGGGAAAACCAAAGAGGAGGGCAAGAAATGCTGAGTAAATAATTCTAGTGTAGCAGATGGCCAGGTGATTTCATCCAAAGCACAACTCAAAATCTGAGGGAATTGGTTTTTTAGTTGGTTGTGTTGCACTCAATGTAACTTGATGATCTCAAGTGGTACTAGGGAGAGTTCTTTCCTGTTTCTGACTTCTAAAATAATTTTGTAGCAGAATTCATCATTTGATGAAAGAGAAATCACAATGACCTGCTTACCCAATGTTCCTCAGAGCTCCTGTGATGTGCACCTAGGTGTCTAGATACCTGGATATATTAAAAGAAGAAAAACATGAATGAATGAATGAATGAATGAATGAATGAATGAATGAATGAATGAATGAATGAATGCTGTAGCTGTTAGAGAAATTATTCAGAAGAAAGTCAGCACAAAGGACACAAGCCAGTTGAAGTTACATGTTTTTATATCCTACTGATTTCAGCGGGTGAGCTGAGGACATACTTAAAACCAAACATGTTTAAAATGTCAGGGTTGCAATGCATTTTTTAAAAAAAATACTTACAGGACGAGCACAGGATAGAGCCCACATGGAGATAAACAAGAGTGACGTCCTCTTCGCATTCATTTTGGTTTCTGTAACAACATCAAAAACAGAGTGTAAAAATAGAGAATGAGCAACAACTGTATTGGCCATTTTTAGGTCAGAGATGGTAAAGAGTCCCTCATCACTGCTCCTTTTCACCATGCTGGTGCCAGAGTACACACCTGGCTGGTTTATGCAGAAAGACCTAGACCAGGCTTGCTAAGGCTAGTCATTTCTTTTTGCAGGGCAGAATGGCCCACTGCATGTTGCTAGCAAGTGGATTCAGCCCACATGCAGCCAGCTGCCAATTTCATGCCAGCTTAGAGCAACAAATCAGTGTTGCTTGCTAAAGCTATGTATGATGTGCAACTATGCAACGATAGTGGAAAACCAAATTTGCATGTACACTTTATTTTTCCAGGCAATTGTTACTTCATGTGTTTTGAGCACACAGGCTGCACCAGGGCCGGCCCACTCGTGAGGCAAAATGAGGTGACGACCTCAGGTGGCAGGATCCACAGGGTCAGCATATCCTGATGTAGATCCTTACCTCCCCCACCCCCCATTCTTGATGTAGATCTTCACTCACCCCTTCTTCTCTGGTAGTGGTAGGGAAGGGGGTGTTGTTTTGCAGTTGGCCTCAGGTGCCAAAATGTATTGGGCTGGCTGTGGTCTGCACTTTAAAGCACACCACATGGACAAACAAAACCGTGTTTTGATAGAGAGGGCATGCCTGGAACTTTGTTTGCAAAATGCGTCCTCCTGCACGTAAGCTAGTGACTGTGCACAGAATGTTGACTGCCTTTCTGAGAAGTATGTTTTATTGTAAACAGCTTTGGGGATTTTGCAATGAAGCAGCATACAAATTCTGCTGAATAAATAAAACATATAGAGCCATCATTGCTTTGTGTCCCACCGGGCTTTCATAACACTTCAAACGGTACCCCTGAAAAGGCTGAGAGGGAAACAGAGAATCGGGACCCAACACCTGCATTTTGGTATGACTCATAGGTGACTCACTACACCCCGCCCCTAAAAACTATGGAAATAGTATTTAAAGGATTGTTTAATAAATAAATTCCTAACTACGTGAAAGAAACAAGGGTATATCTCACACATCCACATAAGCACTCATAAGAACTAGTGTGCTGTAATGGTTAGAGTATTGGACTCGGACCTGGGATACCTGGATTCACATTTGCTCACTGGGTGGCATTGGGCCAGTCATTGCCTCTAAGCCTGACCTACCTCACAGGGTAGTGGGGACTGATTTCTTTTTAAAAAAACAAATTTTTATTGGTTTTTAAACCAATACAAGAACCATTAAACACCATTAAACACTTGTCCAGCAGTGCATCTAATGATGTTTGCCCTATCCATTGACTTTAGACATAAATTTACACATTCAATCTTCAAACATATTACTTAACATAACTTCTCCACACAGAATATTGAGCAGCTGGCATAACAAGGTCCACATTTGGGTCCTTAACATAGTTAAAGAAAGGGGTTCCACGTCTCTTGGAAGGTGTCCCTATTTGTTATGCCTTTAATTGCCCTCCTGTCTTTGGTAAGGCACTCAGACATTGCTGGATTCCAGGTATTATTTTCCCATATGTTCCGGGGTATTTCAGTCTTTTGCTGCTGAGCTATTGCTAATTGTGCTGTGGTCAGTTGGAAGGATGCTAGTTCTCTGCTATGCAGTGTGGAGCCCAAGTCTACGTCCAAAGATAAGAGTTGTTAAGGCAGGGTGTTTAGGGGATTAATTGCAGAGAGGGAGAACCATGTCTGAGTGACTTGTAGAAAAGGAAGTACAGTGGTACCTCGGGTTAAGTACTTAATTCGTTCCGGAGGTCCGTTCTTAATCTGAAACTGTTCTTAACCTGAAGCACCACTTTAGCTAATGGGGCCTCCTGCTACCGCGTCGCAGGTGCACGATTTCTGTTCTCATCCTGAAGCAAAGTTCTTAACCTGAGGTACTATTTCTGGGTTAGCGGAGTCTGTAACCTGAAGCGTCTGTAACCTGAAGCGTGTGTAACCCGAGGTACCACTGTACATAAATGAAATAAATAAATAATGTGCCTTCTTTATTTTTAAGCGCTAAGCTTCCCCCCGCCAAAAGAAACGGACAAGAATGATCCTAAGTCGCTTACAACTTGACTTAGTAAATTTCATGATTGAGTTGTATGAAATAAAGGGAGCAAATGCAATTGGTAAAGTAAACCATCCGCCCCCCCCCCCCGGTCATTCCTTTTCACACAACCACACACAACACCTATGTACAGTTAGATATAGATGCTACCTCCAAGACAACAATATTGAGGAAATGATTGCAGCAGCTCCAGATAAGTGATCACCTGCACACAGTATTCTCAAAACACATTGGGACTAATGATCCGTGGATGGTGGTCTGTTAGGAGAAGGGGCACTTCCCCAATTTTTTAAACGAGTTGGGGGTGACTGTCTATTATTGGCTCTGACTCCACCTACTGTTGGTCTTCCTGCCTTTTGCCTTACTGGTCCTGATGGGCACCAGTCACTACTGTTAGCGATAAGTGTACATGCACCCTTGCACTGTGGTTTGGAGCTGGCCCTTTCCTTCTTGGTGCGTATGTAGCATATGGATCTCCTATGACAGATTTATCATAATCATCACTACAGCTGGAACTTTTGTATCGCCTGATAAACATGGAAGCACAATCCTTTGGAATGGTGACACCATGCTGAGATTCATCAAATGATTAGATAAGAAGTGATGAGATATCAAGAGATGATGCATAAAAATCAGCCCTAAGCCCTGTTCAGCCGGGGGGGCACACATATTTCAACAATAAATAATGGAAACCAGGTACGTATTATTAGCAAACATGGCGTTAATATTACAGAATTACAGAATAGTAGCATTGGAAGAAACACCAAGGGTAATCTAGTCCAGTGCAGGAATCCTGCTCATAGCTATCCTTGGGCAGGACTGAACCACCAACCTTCTGGTTAACAGCAAGACACACAGAACTTGTATTTTGGAGGCAAAGTTTGTAGGCAAGATACTCCCAATTTATTGTTTTGTCTCCACATGCATCCAAATTTGCATTTTATAAAACACTCATTTCCATTGTTCAATGAGTATCAAAATGATTTAAAGACCCTTTTTGCATAAAACTCACAAACATCAGATAATGAGAACAGGGACTTAGCATTTTCCTTCTTCGTCATTCATTAATGCTTCTTCATTAATCTCCCACATCTTTAAGACTTCTCATTAATACAGTTCCAGCAGGTGCCCCCTGTGCTGGCTTTAACTCTTAACAGCATCGGAACAAGGAAAATAATTTAAGATTTTACCTTTGTGTCTGTCTCAATGAGGTTGCTCCAGGGTTTCCTTTTTCAAAATTTGCTCCCCATAGCACATCAGTTTGGGATCCAATTCTTGAACACCAGTTTTTGACATCTTCTATGACGGTGCACGAATTTAAACTCTGCTTCAGCTACAAAAGGACCAATCAGCAGCCTTGAGGAAGAGAGTGATGTCATAAGGTGTCATCAGGCTTCCAGGCCGCCCCCGCTTCCCTTCTGCCTCCAAATGGACATTTTCCCTAAAAATAAGCTGTGGTTCTCAAAATGACTAGACCAGTTTGCATTTAATGAGGGATCTTGCTAAGGGTTCATTTGGATTTCTAAATTTATGCCACTTCTCATGCCTGCAGGTTTATGAGTGTAAACAATTGCAGTGTCACCCACATTTATACCCAAAGTGCTGTCATCCCCAGTCGCACTCGCTTCCTGCTAATATATGCATTATACCAGTAGACAGTTTGTACCGAAGTGCTTCCGAGAACCGTCTTTAGCATAAAAAGATCTGTGGGCTACCATATCTTCTCGCCTTACAGCCACCATGTGGGAGGATGCTTAGAACAGCTGCAACACTGAAATGAAACTGCTGAATTTGCCCTTTGCAGCTGTGATACAACCAATTGGCATGCTACCGATGCCAAGGTTTGCACCCAGCTAGGATTTTCTTTAGCATGTCTGCTGTGATAGTTTAGGCAGTGGAAGAGGCAAGCCGTTTTTCAGACTCAGCTTAAAATTTCAAACTGAAAAGTGGGTTGCCTCTTCAGTGTGCAGTAGACACAGGGCTGGATTAAACCCTGTGGAGGCCCCCAGGCAGTCAAAATTGGGGTGGGGTTGAGGCCTCACAAGAGCGACAACAAGCAATATTTATGCTTCTACTCAGCTACTTGCGAATATTCTACTAGGATCCGGAGTTGGCAGGAACTTGCGACACGCTGACAGAAAGCTTTATGAGGTTTCTGGTTCATGCACTCTAGTGGGATAACATTGAACTAAGAAAGCTTGATTGTAATTTTCTTTCAAGGTCAAATCAATATTATTTCGATGCGTTGTCACAGGCGCCCTACCTGAATAGGTAGCTATTATAGTCTTTCTTTAGTCCTTTTCTTAATATTTAGGCTGTGTTACTATATGCCTGAACATTTTGCTTGCCCTTTTCTCAATTTTTCCCAAGTCTACTATGTCCTTTTAGAGGTGAAGAACTGTACACAGTATTCCAAATGCTGTATCCTCCAGGTCGGCAGTTTGAATCCCCACGACAGAGTGAGCTCCCGTTGCTCTGTCCCGGCTTCTGCCAACCTAGCAGTTCGAAAGCACACCAGTGCCAGTAGATAAATAGGTACCTGTGTCAGGAAGGTAAACGGCGTTGCAATGCTCTCTGGTTTCTGTCACAGTGTTCCATTGCGCCAGAAGCAGTTTAGTCATGCTGGCCACATGACCCAGAAAGCTGAATGTGGACAAACGCCGGCTGCCTTCGCCTGAAAGCGAGATGAGGACCGCAACCCCATAGTCACCTTTGACTGGACCTAACCATCCAGGGGTTTACCTTTACCTTTATATTTTTATTCTCCAATGATTATATTCTGTTGGAAGCTGCCCAGAGTGGCTGGGGCAACCCAATGGGCAGGGTACAAGTTACAAATTATTATTATTATTATTATTATTATTATTATTATTATTATCATCATCATCATCATCATCATCATTATCATTATTTGGTCACACCATAGATGTGTATAGTGGCATTATAGAGAGGCAATTTTCTTTGCGTGTTCTGCTGTGAATTGATCCTCCCAAATTAATGGGCTGATCCGAGTGTAAGTTTCCACTGGATCACAGATTAACACGGAAATGGGCCGGAACGGACTTGGACATGAAAACATGTGAAAGCAACACAGACCAGAAATAATACTGTCTATCCCTATGAAGAGGTGCTGGGGAAACATATACCAATGACTGCGCCCAGCTTGGACCTAAATAAAACCTTGCCACATCCTGTTAGTGAGACATGAGGGACTGGAGGCAGAGAAAGCTTACCCAAGCAGAAGAAAATCCGTGACGGCAACTACAGCTTCCCCACTTCCTCACACTCAGCTCTGCCATTTCCTCGTGACACCCACAAGGAATGTTAGGAATAGCTGCCAGGAAGGGCTTCTCCAAGCTTGCTTGAGAAACCAAGCTTTACATAAATTGCTAAGAAGAAGTGCTTAAGAAAACAAAAACTTCACAAACTTGTCTCTGGCATAAAGGGGGCATATGCATTGCTTCCAAGTGGGACTTCCACCTGAGGCTCTGGGAGTGGCCAAATCCATCCATTTTTATTGTTCCAGACTTAAATGTAGACCTCCACAATTCCACACCACTTTGAAAGCCCTCGTAAAAATCCTTCAGGATCCAGGTGCAAATTTCTCCCTTACACAGACTTGTATGCAATGTTGCCTACGATACACATTTTGCAAAGCAATTTCCCAGAGTATAAAATATTTTGCATGTCATTCTCACTCATTACATGCACGTTTTACTCCGATACATGGATTTTTACCACCATTACTTGTCTTGAGAACTGCATTGCAAAACTTGGAGGGAAACTGGTGCATCCCTACATCCCAGACCTTGCAGCTGCCCTGCCCCATCCCCATCCTGGACCACAGACCCACCTGACCACATGAGCCACAACCACATGAATGGCATCAACCAGACACCTTGGAGAGCCACTGCCAATCAGAGCAGACAGTACTGGCGCTAAGTGGACAAGTAGCCTGGGGGTTGACTACCCAAGATCCCATTTTGGATTTTGTAATACACAGAGCTGTTTTGAACTGAGGAATGAAAGGGGGTTTCTTTGGAAAGCACTGCTGGTGTGCTTGATTCTGCAGGTCCGCAATACCTACTCAACCTGTCCATTTGTATATATAGTGGTACCTCGGGTTAAGTACTTAATTCGTTCCGGAGGTCTGTTCTTAACCTGAAACTGTTCTTAACCTGAAGCACCCCTTTAGCTAATGGGACCTTCTGCTGCTGCCGCGCCACTGGAGCACGATTTCTGTTCTCATCCTGAAGCAAAGTTCTTAACCCGAGGTACTATTTCTAGGTTAGCGGAGTCTGTAACCTGAAGTGTATGTAACTTGAAGCATATGTAACCTGAGGTACCTCTGTAAATCTACTCTATCTTTCAAAGGGAAGCAGAGCTATCTCTCCTGACCAGGGCTCAGGAAAAGAGGAACGTGAAACAATATATTTTTGACATACTTTGGAAAGTTCAGGAAATGTAAAAAATTCCCCTAGCCACCAACACACCAGTAGTGGTAGGTTCAGCTACTTACATACAAACCCTTAAATAACTCTGAACCAGCTTACCTGGGGGGCGGGGTGAATCTTCCTACAGTCAGCATATGAAACCTGTTTAAATTTTGCCATTGCCTGATGATTGTTGGCCTGTGGTAGCATGGAAGCGGGCTTTTTCATTGGTGGTGCCTGTGTTGTGGAATGCCTTCTCTGCTGAAATATTAGAGGTCCTATCAACATTGGCATTCCACCGGCTCTTTAGGAAGCATTCCCTTGAGTTGAACTTGTGATTTTATTGTTTTAACTGATTTTTAAATGTATATTAATGTTATTGGATTGATTTCCTGTTTGTGAACACGTTAAAAGCCAGTTGGGCATGTAAGTGGCCTATAACAGTGGCGTAGCGTGGGGGGTGCAGGGGGGCCAGCCGCACCAGGCGCAACATCTGGGGGGGCGTGCTCGCCGCCTCCGGAGTCGCCGAAGAGCCTCGGGCGCAGGCTGTAGCAGAGCCCCATGTCTCGCGGAACCGACGAGCTGGCAGCAGCTCTCAGCGCTCACCGCGGTCCCCACGCGTCAGGGCCGCGGAGGGCGTGCCAGGCAGCCCCTCCTCACAGCCCCGCCGCCACTGCTGCTGCTGCAGTTGCTGGGCCATGTTGCTCTTCCCTCCTCCTCCTCCGGGCAAGCGGCGTCGTTTGGGCGGCAGCGCCAGCGGCAACTCGCCTCAGATCACCTGACATGGACCTGCCACCGCCGCCGTGGCTACCTTACTGTAAATACCCCAGCCCAGGCAGCAGCAAGAAGAAGCTGGCAGCGGCGGCAGGTTAGGGGTTAGGGGGCGCAAATTACTTGCCTTGCCCCGGGTGCTGACAACCCACGCTACGCCGCTGGCCTATAAGTTAAATAATTATAACTCTTGTTGTTCTTGTTCAGGTGTGGCGCTCACTGAATTGTGGCTGTACAAGGCTGCAAATTGAAAATACATTTCCTGCAACCAAATGATGTTTATATCAAGTAGTATATTTACTCATGTACAATTGTAAATAGGAACTCAACCACTGGATTCAAGGCAAAACACGATTGCCTCCTGCACAGTCTTAAATTGATGTGGCTCAATAGCATCCCTTTCTCTGATACAGAGAGTAAAAGCTGGGTGGGCCATTCCCAAGAAAAATACATGAAACAACATGAAAAATAATAATTTATTTTACAGTTTACACACAGGGCACATTTATAATCTTCTAAGAACCATGATATTGAACAAGTAAACCAAGAAAAACGGGCCAGGTGGTGTTTACCAGGAATTCTGTTTGCGATGTTTCATTCACACATGCAAGTCATGATGTTGCAGCCAAGTAATGAATAACACTGGAGAACCAACCCTGGAGGTCTTTGATGAATGAACATGTGTATCAGAACATGGGCTTTTGTATCTGTTTACCAACAATTGAATACCCATTGTGCAAAGGCATATAATTTATTGCTAACAAAACCGCAGCACTCAAAAATGTATAAACACAGCATTTTTGATCCCCTGCGACTATAAGGACTGGGGCAGCTTTCCTGCTCATGCGTCCCCAATTCAACCTTGACCCTGATCCTAATCACACTTATACAGAGATCTTGTGGTGATAACTTCCTGACAAATGTGTTTCGGCCTGTTGTCTCGGCTTCTATGTCGTTGTCCAGTCATCCTCCGCCAACGCCGTAATTTGATCCTTCCTCAACTTTGCGTTAATAATCACTGGTTAGGTCGTTGCTCTGACTGCCTTCACTTATGGATTCACTCTCAGTGTCTCCACCTTCTGACTGAGCGTCACTGTCACTCTCCTCGCTTGCTACAGATTCATCGTCACTTGCCATTTCCGCTGTATCTGAAGCACCGTCGCTGGCAGCACCGTTTTCCGCACTCAGAGGTGCACTCTCACTATCGCCGTCAGGTTGGTTTGCCGAATCGCTCTCACTTTCACTGCCCGTTAACTCACCACCGTCCTCGCTATCAGTGTCTGACTGGCTGCCATTTTCACTGCTCCCTGCTTGACTGCTACTTTCGCTGGTGTCCGATGGACCACTGCTGTCACTCTCGCTACTGCTCTCAGATGTGGAGTCACTCTCACTGCTGCTATCAGATTCGCTGTCGTCCTCACTGCTGCTTTCACTCTCACTGCTGCTGTCAGATTCGCTGTCGTCCTCACTGCTGCTTTCACTCTCACTGCTGCTATCAGATTCGCTTTCACTGCTACTGCTCTCACTGCTGCTGCTGC